CAGGAGTGGAACACGCACATTGTAGGGATTTAGGAAACGGAGACCAGCCCCAAAGAGGGAAGCCACGTTCACATTTCTCTGCAGTGAACCCTCCATCTGTGGACCTTGATGTAAGTGACTTCGGACTTAAGGGACACAATTTCCGGCCCCTATGTCATATGTGAAAGTTAGCACCCTGTTAGTTTTAAAATGCTTTCAACCAAGACATGCTTAGAATTAAAGCAACAAGGCTTGTGTTTTTTGTTGTTGTTGTTGTTGTTTGGTTATTAATTCACTGTTATTTTGAACAAATGTTAGCACATAGGCCAAAGGTTGGAAAAAACACTGCAGTAATGTTGCAGACATGAGTAATTATTGCACGTCGACAGTTATGTCTGCATTGAATCCACGCGTGACGCTGGCAAACAGTGTTTGGCAAATGATCGGCGCACAGTCACACCGCCTCGAGTGTGGCGACGGGTTCTGTCATGGCGTGGCGTGACTGCCGACGGACGGCTGGGCATGGTGAGGTATGAGTGGCAACCCAAGGGGACCTAGGGCAACAGGCCCCTTCTCAGCTGGGGGCCTGTCTCAGCGGTGAGAACAGGACCCGCCGCCCGGGAGGCCCCGTGTGCCGGGATCACCGTGGTCCTTGTTCCGTCCGCTTCCCGGGCCCCGCTGCGCCAGGCCGGCGGGATCCGGAGGGGAAGAAGCTGGAAGACGCAGGGACCGCGGGGAGGGAGGCCGCCGGGGGTGTGGGCTGGCGGGGGCCCCCGCGGAGAGGTCACCGGGGCTGGGCCAGCCCCCGGGGTGCCCGCTCCCGGCCAAGAAGGATTAAAGGGAGAAGAAAGGCCGGGGACAAAGAGGGCCCAGTGAGCACAAAGCGCTGCCTGGCGTGGCCGCCATGGCAAGTGCCTCGCTGGGGGACTCAGGACGCGGCGGCCTTGGCTCCGGGGCAGGAGCTGGGCGGGCGCCGCTGGCCAGGAAGCTCCCTGCCCGCCTGGGAGGGCGGATTCCCAGGCCCTGGCACAGCCTCGGCCAAGCCCCACTTCCTCCCGGCACAGCCTGCCCGTGAGGGAGGGAGGCAGGGGCCGCGGCATCCTGGGGGCCTGGCCGCCTCCCTGAGGTGTATGTGCCGGCTTCCGGGGCCGGGGGGGGGGGGGGGGGGGGGCGCTGTGTGTCCGGGCGCCTCGTCCTCCCGACCAGACCCCGGACTCGGCTACGGGAGGAACACGGCGACCCAGAGCCGGCCCTGCCCCGCAGCGCGGAGGGGGACACTGAGCCCCAGCACGGCCGGCCCTGGCCCAGAGCCCCCCGCCGTCTGGGGGCTGGTCCCAGGCCACTCGAAAGCGGGGCACACAGGGTGGGAGCTCCTGAACCCGTGAGGGGTGCCGCCCCGGCTCGAACCCCAGGAAGGAAGTCCGGGCCAGACCAGCGGCCAGGCCCGGGGCGACGGCAGCAGGGAGGGAGCACACGGGGAGTCTCCGGGCCTGTCCCTTGTGCACACCGACCGGGGCTCCGCGCTCCCGGCCCCGCGGGCAGAGGCCTGTTCACACCCCAAACCCGCTAAACGCAGCTCCACTGCTTCCTGTGGCCTCCTCTCAAGGACAGCGCCCGACAGCTCCGCAGCCCACACCCGGCTTCTCCGGGGCTCCCGGGAGCCCGGGAGGCCTCGGGGTGTGCCTGTGTAAGGGGCCTTCCACCCAGAAGCCCTGCTCCGACCCCAGCATGCCGCCACTTCCCCGCGTTTCCGGGCGGGCGTCCCATTTCTGCGGGGTCAGCTCAGGGAAACGCGCAGAACTCCCAGCGCGATGGGCGGGGTGACCTCCGGGGGCAGGGGGGCTTCGGGGAGACCCGGCATCCTTCCCTGCGGCCTCGTGCTGGAGCCAAGACCTACACGTGTGAGGGGCCAGCGACCTCCTGGCCTGTGGGACACAGTGAGGGAGCACCTCTCTGCGCCAGGCGCCGGGCTAGCTGCTGTCACAGGGCCCCCCTCGGCCCCCCATGTTTCCCTGTATCTGGTGGGCTCCCCGCTGGGCCTCTCCTCACAGGCCTTTGTCCGGGGCCTCGTCACAGACCTGAAGGCAGACACGACCGGCCCATTGGGTGAGGGACTTGCTCAGGCCACAGGCCAGCTGCTCAGTGGAAAGAGGCCTCAACGCCAGTTCTGCAGGTCCCCATCCTGGCTCCGCCCCAGGCCCTGCACGCATCGCTGGGCCTGGCAGTGCCGTGGGGAGCGAGGTCGCAGGGACCAGCTCCCGGCTCTGCCACACCTGAGTCATGGGCGCAGGTTGCACCCGGATACCTCGCGCCTGCTGGCGGCTCCCGGTAAAGGAAGCCAGTCCCACGGGACAGAGACCTGCTCCTCCGTGCACTCGGCCGGTGTCTGCTCCTCCACCCTCTGAAAGGAAGTCCCCACGTGAAAACACAGCAGGGAGGCGCCCTCTGCCCGGGCACCCTGACGCCTCCCGCCTGGCGAGGAGCTGAGCGGAGCCCATCAGACATCACCTGGGAGAAGGGCCGCAGCCTGGGCAGGGGGACAGAGAGCAGCCGCGCCGGCTTCCTGCTGGCCAGACAGGTCTGCCTCCAAGTCCCCGAGAGCTCGGCCTGGACGCCAAAGCCCCAGGCTGCCCGGGGAGGCCTGCTGCCCGCACAGTGCCCAGGTGGGCATGGCTTTGCGGGAGGAGGCAGTTATGCTGCTTCTCTGAAGGGAGGGCCGCGGTAAGAGGAGCACACGGCGCTCCCCGCGGCCCGGGCAGCATCCCTGCAGCCGGGTCATCCCGCACCGCAGGCTCCGGGCTGGGCCGAGGCCGGGCTCGGGGAGGAGGCATGGCTGGCCCAGGGCAGCGTGGCAACGAGTCACGGAGCTGGGAGGTGAACCCTGAGGCTTTAATCCCAAACAGGGTTAGGCCCTGGCTCAGTGTGTGTGTGTGTGTGTGTGTGTGTGTGTGTGTGTGTGAGTGTGTGTGTGTGTGAGTGTGTGTGTGTGAGAGAGAGAGTGTGTGTGTGAGTGTGTGAGTGTGTGTGTGTGAGAGAGTGTGTATATGTGTGTGTGTATGAGAGAGAGAGTGTGTGTGTATGTGTGTGTGTGAGAGTGTATGTCTGTGTGTGTGTGAGAGAGAGTGTGTATGTGTGTGTGTGTATGTGTGTGTGTGAGAGAGTGTGAGTGTGTGTGTGTGTGTGTGTGTGAGAGTGTGTGTGAGAGTGTGTGTGAGTGTGTGTAAGGGGGGGCTCTCACCCCCACACCAGGTGAGTGTGACCCAGTGGAGCGGCCAGGTGGCCCCCGGCCCTGAGGGAGCGAGTGGGAAACGCCAGCAGGAACGTCAGTGGCACCAGCGAGCCCCCTCCCCTCAGCCGACAGTGTCCTCGGCCCTGTGCCGAGGCCAGAGGAGAGCCCCCGGGCAGCACTGAGCGCCGTTGTTGCAGGAAAACCTGCCATGACCTGGTGACGCTGGCTTCCAGGGAGGTCTTTCCAAACGGCACGCCGAGGCCGACGTGTCCTCCTGAGCCAGGCTTCGCCCAGAGAGTGCCCCGGAGCTGCCAAAGCTGTCCAGACTCTGGCGGCCCCCGCACCCCGCCAGGGGCCAGGACCCGGGCAGGAGCCAGTGTCCAATGCGGAATTTGCCTTTGGAAACTTGCCTTCGCCAGCGAGTGACCATGGTCTCTAGGCCGTGCTGGTGGGAGGGTTCGCAGCTCCTCTCCTCAGGTTTGTGCAGAAATGGCTGCAGAGGGAGGCGTCCTGAGCGGAGTCTCCGATGTCGCGCTCGCCGCCGGCCAGCTGGTGGGCAGTGGTCAGGGCTGAGAGCCCCAGCGTGGACCTTCCTCTTGGGCCTCTTCTCCAGTTGAGTGGAAAGTGCATGTTCTTTGTCCATTTAATTTAGTCTCAACAAAATCCCAGATCCTGCCATCGGATCCACAGAGCGCGGCCTGAGAGCCATCCGGGTGGCCGGGGGACAGGACATTGATTGGCTACAAGGGCGGTTCACTAAGACCCAATCATTAAAAGGCATCGGAGTCACCTCCACACAGGAACGCACACCCTAAGCAAACCACTGGATAACATGTCTGCAGCAGGCCCAGCCCTGCCCCACAGGGAGGGACAGGCATCCAAATGAGCATTGTCCAGAGTCACGTGATCTGGTTACCTCTCACACCTCACCCTGAGCCCCCCTGTGCCCACACACACACACACACACATACACACACACACACACCTCATACAGCTCAGAGCTTCCTGGACTGGAAGCTTGGGTAATGGTTCCCGCCGAGGTTCAGGATGGGATGCATCCCAGGACACAGAGTCCCCTTTCTTTGGTTTTGTTTGTTTGAAATATGTGTTTATTGATTTCAGAGAAGAAGGGACAGGGTGAAGAGAGAGAGAGAGAGAGAGAGAGAGAGAGAGAGAGAGAGAGAGAGGGAGAGAGAAACATCCATGTGAGAGAGAACCATAGATTGGCTGCCTCCTGCAGGCCCCACACTGGGAATCGAACCCATAACCCAGGCATGGGCCCTGACGGAAATGGAACTGTGACCTCCTGGGTCATAGGTCGACGCTCAACCGCCGAGCCACGCCAGCCCGGCTCATGCATTTATCGGCGGTGCCCGCACAGCTGCCCAGAGGTGCTGCTGAGCCGGCGCCTGTCTCCGTGGCAAACACCCAGAATGCCCCTCCCAGCCCAGACACCCCCCCAGGCCCGCGGACACATGAGGGCCACCGCTGAGCCGGGTTTGAAATGGTCGTTTATTGTCTGTACAGGGGAGGCTGGGCCGGACTCCCGTCGCCCCGGCCGCAGAGAGGCCTCCTCCCCGGGGACAAATGAGCACAGGACACCATTGAGTCTCAGAAACGGCACCGTTTATGTAGCAGGGAGCCCGTGCCCGGCGGGGGGTGGGCGGGGGCCCGGCCAGGCCCCTGTCCCAGCGGCTGCAGGAGCCGGAGGAGAGGGCCTGGCCAGGCCCTTGCTGACACGGGGACCTCCCCCCCCCCCCCCCCCCCCCCCCGCTGGCGCCCCGCGGCGGCCCTAGTTGAGCAGGCAGGACTCGTAGGTGGGCACCATGTACTTGATGTTGATGAAGGCCTCCTCTCCCCCGTAGCGCTCAAAGGCCCCCAGCGTCTCCTGGATCAGGTCGCCCACGTTCTCCCGCTTCTGCTGGCTGTAGTCGATGCCGTCCCCCGAGTTCACTGGGTCGGAAACACACAGAGAGGCCGTTACTGCCCTGTGGCCCCGCGGGGCCTGCACACCAGCCCACCAGCCAGGCACCGGCTCCGGGGGCCGCCGGCGACCCAGGCGCTGCCTGCTTGTGTGTCTGTGTGCGCGCTCCAGGGGCCTGGGGAGCGGGACAGACGGACGCACGAAAGCGCCCAGTCCCAGGCAGGAGCGGACTAGCGTTCACCCGAACCCGCGGTGGGCAAGCTCACGAGTCCACAGCCAACTATCATCAGGACAACGATTGACATTTCTTCTGAGAGCCAACTTTTTTAAACTTAAACTTCTTCTAACGCCACTTCTTCAACACAGACTCTCCCAGGCCGTGGTCTTCCCTGGAAGAGCCACACTCAAGGGGCCAAAGAGCCACGTGTGGCTCTCAAGTCGCAGTTTGTCGACCACTAATCTAAACTAAGGAAAGGAGAGGGCGTGTGGGGTTGTCATGGCGACAGCACAGCTCACAGGTCAGGGCGCCTCCTTCTGGAATCAGACAGTGACATGGAGACTGTCCTCTTGGGCCTTGTGTCCTTCAGAACCCTGACCCGGCCCTGGGAGCCGCCTCGGGCAGGCGGGGCAGGGGTGGCCCTGCGGCTGACAGGGACTCTCTGGGAGAGAGGCTGGCCACCCCGTGTCTGGGTGGCTGTTGCACACTCTTGTCTCTGGTCCCCCAGGGCCGAATCCCTAACCAAGGGCTGTTTTCGAGTTGGTCCCACCCCTCTGGGTGCATGGGGCTGGGGGACGTGTCGTTGCTGCTGTGGAGTTTCTGCTGGGTTTGGAGCCTCTCTAAGCCCAGGCGGGCGGCCAGCCCGAGGCGGGTGCCCAGAGGTCCCCACGCAGGCCCGGCTCCCCGCGGCCGGACGTCCAGTCCTCACAGCACACTCACGCTCACACGCGGGGAGCAAGCGCGTGGCCGCCCGGCCCGGGAGAGGCCTGGACGAGGTACCCAAGTGCCCGGGGCCCCGACAGAAGCGGGGCCCTTTGCTTCAGCCCAGAGGCTGACAGCTCCACGGCTGTGTCTCCCATCAGAGAGGCCGTTACTGCCCGTTCACAGGGTGTGTCCCCCACGTGTCCCAGGACATCCTTGCGCACTTTCCCTTGGGCGAGTGGCCACCGCCCCTCTGCTCCAGGCCCCCTCTCAGCCGCGATGAGCGTGAGGAGGCAGGGAGGAGCCTCTGGGAGGTGTGCGTGTTGGAGGTAAACTAGTTCACCTTCGAGCAAGATAAGCATTCCGGGGCCAGGTGTGGAGATAACGTGAAGGCGGGAAAGAGGGGTTCAAGCCTGCTCTCCCCCGTTCCCGGCACATTTGAAAAAGGTTGAGTGACAATTACAACCCCACAGGGCGCTGGCAAGCAGCCCCTCTGTTTGCCTCTCCCAGGAGCGTGTCAGAGAGAGGGCTCTGTCCGGCGGCACAGGCCCGGGGGTCCCTGATTCGCCTCCGCGGGTGTGTGTGTGAGGGGGGTCGGGGCAGCGGAGACAGGTCCCATCTGCAGGAAGAGAGGAGACATTGCTGGGTCGGAAACCAGCGAGTGGGATGCAGATGCCTCAGTGAGCCGATGAACTGGGAGCCGCCCATGGGCGCGGCCCAGAGGGAGGTGTCTCCTTCATGTCCCTGAGCAAGTCTCCCCGAAGTTTCCCATGTTTATACCTGTGAGGTTCTGTGTCTGCAGGTTGACAACGGGCTCTGTGTGAGTTATTGTTCAGACAGTGTGTTATTTGGTACATGAAGAGCAGACATTTGGCATAAGAACTTGGGGATTATATCAGTATTGGCCCATTACGTTGGATGGCTGGCTGGCAAGGTCAGACAGTAGAGTTTGCATCTTTTTCTATTATTCAGACTAAAACAGTTATTCTACAGAATAAGGGGCTGTCTAAAAGTGACAGAGTCTACAGAACAAGGGTCTGTCTACCAAGAGCAGAGACTGTCAAGCAGCGGTTTTTATACAAGATGGAGGTTACCGTGCTTCACCACGAGGCTCACACTCCAGCGCCCGTCAAATTTGTCCGGGGAGCTGAGAGCGGCTCCGCGGCCTGGCTCTGAGGCGGGCTTTCTTCCTCAGGGGGACCCTCTGCTTTCCCAGGGGGAGCTGGGGGCGGCGGGATTGAAGTCTGAGTTACATGGCAGCTGAGCGGCTAAGCTACCCAAGGGCGACAGTCACCCAGGACACGCAGAAGAGACAATGCTTGACCCAAGGGCTCCTGCCCGATTGTTTTAGAGCAAAAGATAAACCTAAAAAACAAACAACAACAACAACAAAAAGCAGACTGATGCACACTTAAAGCAAGCAGGCTTTCCCTCCCCCCTCCCTCCCTCCCTCCCTCCCTCCCTCCCTCCCTCCCTCCCCCCGTCTTTCCTTTGTAAAAGACGTACATGGTGGTCTAAGTGAGTCCCGCCCTCAGCGAGGACAAGTGGTCTCGGTCCCTTTGGGGGACTTGGCGATTGGAGGCCTTTGGGTTGAGCTGAGAGGAGGAGGAGGGGTGTGTGTGGAGAGAAAACACACACGTCAGGGAAGAAAGTCCAAAGGAGGGAGGACGAAGCAGCACCGGTGCAGGAAGGGGCTGGGGGACAGGGACAGGGACCCCGTGGACCAGGAGGTGGACACTGGCCAGCATGTCTATCAGAGACAGCTTCGCTGTCCGGGATTCCGATCTGAGCCGATCTCCAAGGGCCTCTCGCCCCTCCCCCCAGGCGACACTCCCGATGCACCTGCAGGCAGGTGGCAGGGCCTGCGTGGGCACCGGACAGCAGGCCAGGGCACAGATGTTGAGTGGGCACCGGACAGCCAGGCCCGAGAACAGACACCGGGTGGGCACCGGACAGCAGGCCTGGTCACAGACGCTGGGTGGGCACCGGACAGCAGGCCTGGTCACAGACGCCGGGTGGGCACTGGACAGCAGGCCAGGGCACAGATGTTGAGTGGGCACCGGACAGCCAGGCCCGAGAACAGACACCGGGTGGGCACCGGACAGCAGGCCTGGTCACAGACGCCGGGTGGGCACCGGACAGCAGGCCAGGGCACAGATGTTGAGTGGGCACCGGACAGCAGGCCCGGGCACAGACGCCGGGTGGGCACCGGACAGCAGACTCAGGCACAGACACCGGGTGGGCACCGGACAGCCAGGCCCGAGAACAGACACCGGGTGGGCACCGGACAGCAGGCCCAGGAATAGACACCGGGTGGGCACCGGACAGCAGGCCCGGGCACAGACGCCGGGTGGGCACCGGACAGCAGGCCCGGGCACAGACGCCGGGTGGGCACCGGACAGCAGGCCCGAGAACAGACACCGGGTGGGCACCGGACAGCAGGCCCGGGCACAGACGCCGGGTGGGCGCGCGGGAATGCAGCCGGGGACGGTGCTGAATCGTGACAGGCTGGAGCCAGCTCCTCGCGGACAAAGAGGCGCGGACCAGGCCAATAAATGGCGCCTTTTGTTGGCGTCTCAGCCAAAGGTCAGGCTGAATAGGCCGCGGCATACTTTCCCGGCGGAGGCGAGGGGCTGGAGACGCTGGCACAAAGGCTCTCCCCGGCCTTCCAGAACGCCGCCCCCCAGGCAGCCCCCGCTCAACAAGAACCGATTCTTACTTTTCAGAGAACACTGCGCCGTGGGAGTGACAAGCTATGTGGCTGTTTGTCCCTCCGCAGTGCACACTCGGCGACAGAGGGCCGAGCAGAATGGAGGTGCTTGTTCAGAAAGGGGGATGGTGATGGGCTGTGCTCTGGCTGCGAGGTGCCATCACGGGGCGGGGACCCCCCCCCCCCATGCCTGCCGAGGCTCAGGGGGGAGTGGGGAGCAAGGGGGCCTCCCTTTGGGGCGGGCACGGGTCCGTGTCTTTGAGAATCTGCACGTGAGGGGGCTGTGGGAGCTCACCGTGTTAAATATGGGGTGTCCCCCCCCCCAATCCCACCCCAAACGTATACAGCCCTCAGCAGCGAGAGCTCCGTTCGGAAACAGAATGGATTTGGATAAACGCCGCCTTTCTCATCATCCTCAGCGTGAGCCTGCACTTTTGGGGGCGCCCTGTGCCCTGTGCTGAGGATCGGCCTCTTGGCAGGAGGGGGCATGGACATGGTCCCTTCCGACGAGGCAGCTGGGGGCCTGGCTCATATCTGGGCTAAAGAGACTCATCGGTGCTGCCAAGCCTCGGTTTCTCTATGCCAGCATGCCGGCTGCAGCGGGGCGGGGGGCACCGTGTGGCTGGGGAGAAAGTGGGGCCAGGGCTTGCGCCCCCAGAGGCTGGCGTGCGGGAGGCCGTGAGCCCACCTGCAGGCCGCTCCGCGCAGGGGGCACTCAGAGTGCGGGGCTCCGCTGAGGCCGGCTCTGACGATGCGGGCACCAATACAGTCAGCACACCGGCACTCTCTCCCCTCACCCCCTCACCTGCCCTCCTGGCACCGTCTCCCTTAGGTGCCACTGGGGCCCGAAGTGGGCCGTGCGGGAGGGTCCCTGCCCCCCTCCGGGTGTGAACTCGGCTCAAGCGGGAAGGGGTTGCAGGACACGTCTTTCCAGGCCCACGGCAGAGAGGGTGACAGACACACGCACTCACGTCACAGGACGTCTGCTGAGCAGCACACATGGGCACCCTGTCAGCCTGGGCTGCTCCCGGCCTGGGCACGGGGAGAAGCTGGCGGCCGAATGTTCTGAAAGGAAACACGAGTGTGGGAAGCTCCATGGAAACCCCGGAGGACCAGGGAAGAAGGGATGGCTCTCAGGATGGCCAGCCGGTCGGGACGATCTGCCCCACTAAGGAGACCTGCCAGCCGGCTTACCCGCCACGTCCGCGGCTGCGGGTCCCTGGGCCCTCACACACGCCAGGGACTCAGCCCCGCAATGCCACGCACCCGAGGCCGCACCAGCCACAGACCGAGGCTCTGGCGTCGTGGCCGCAGCCGCACCCCCGGGGCCTGTCGCTGTCTCGGGAGTGCTGTGCTGGCCATCTGCACACAGGGCATCGGAAGAGAGCCCAGGCCAGTCC